TTAACAGAGTACAAGCAAACGTGTCAATAGGACAATCAGAATGACAATCAAAAGGACATCTTTGTGTGCTAATTTTTTACTTACATTATCTCGGCACTGTTCTTTACTTACATTATCTCAGCACTATTCAGAGGGCGCCAGGTATGGACTTAAAAAGTGTCTCCTGTTGGGAAACTTATGGAAGGTTAAAAAGTAACTGTAAATGATTTGGCTACAACATTTTCTGCCCTCCAGTAAGCTAAAGCCAAAGAAGTGGCTTGAAGCAGTCCCAAATGGAAGGGAGACCATCCATGTGGCTATGCAAGAAGGTCCATTTGATGCTAGCACCCAGCAGACCAATGAATCTCTGCCATGTGTGCAACCTTTTTGGATTTTAATTTTTAATTTTTAATTTTAAAAAAATGTAAAAAACGAAAGAAATTTATTTTAATTATTTATAAAATAATTTAATATTTGATATCTGCTGGGAAACTAAGGGAAGGTTAAAAATTAACTGGAAATGACTTGGGTATAAAATTTTTCTGCCCTCCAGTAAGCTAAGGCCAAAAGAAGTGCTAGAAGCAATCCCAAATGGAAGGGAACCTCCATGTGGCTGAGCAAGAATACATGAGTAACTACATCCAAGATCAAAGTGGATCTACAAGCTTGATAAAGAGGGAAGTAATTCAACATTGAAAAGGGTATAAATAAAATTTTATTTGGATACCAGGAAATTAAAATTTAAAAAAAAAAGATGGAAGAGGAATTAATTGGAAGGCTCCATTCTGCTTTATAGGCATTCAAAATGAATTATGAAACAAGCAGATCAAACATTTTTAAATAATATGATTATTCTAGTGTCTCCGAAGGCAAAATATCGTAAGTTTTAATAGCCTCTGAACTTCTGCAGTAACTACTAATTTCAGAATAGGAGTTCAAATTAGGATAATACGATAATGAACAGAAAGTTAAAACTTTATTATGTCCAGATATTACCAATGCTATCCAAAGCAAGATCTAAGCAGTCTTCATCTTCCCATCGCACAGTCAACTGACCATGGCATAGCATGATCATCAACCTGAAGGCAATCTACATCGAATGGTCCGGTGAAACCTGAAGATTCTGCTTTATGTCAAGCATTTCCAGTTGGTAGTCTAGGAAGTCCTGCTATTTGCATTTCCTTGATTCTATCTAGTCCAACTATGTTGTGCAATGAAGATCTTCCCCAACAACCAATCCCGCCTCCGCCACAGAGCAAGGTTTTTCTGACATGCATTGAGAAATTGAGACTTGAGCAAAGCTGCTATCCCAAAGTTCTCGACAAATCCAAGAATAGTTTGACAACCAAGAAAAGTAGCAACATGTAAAATAAATCCTATAAATATCTGATACCCCCAATGGACCAAACCCATAAAGTTTCCAAAGGTAGGACAGTGGTGTTCAAACCCATTTACAAATGCCTTGCAATGTCTAAAATATCTGACTCTCTGGAAGTTAATTGAATTCCGTGACAGCATAGATACTGTGCACATCAGAATCATCAGATTTCAGGGACAAAGTAAAACATACGCAAAACCATTGTTAACAGTTGTTAGATTAGATTTACCGCTGGAGGATATCACCTAGGGAATTAGCAGCAAGAAAATATCAGGTTTACGTAGTCTACAAGAAGCAAGACCATTGTAACAGGTTCAAGCTTCCACAAGTCAAACATATAAGCCACTTAGATGTGCTTTTGGGAGGAGTTCAATTTTGGGACAGTTTTGAGAGTACAGGGGATTAAGCTTCACTCCCCCAGCAAAGACTCTTACAGAAACACCATCTATATGATCTATTAATGGTTGAAGTTCAAAAATATCTATATGTAGATACCTTTTATGATTTATATTTAATTAGAATAAAACCATTGCCTCATTGAATATATAATTTATGTTTAACTAGAATAACCTCATAGCCTCATAAAGCCTGCAACTACAATTTCCAAACAAAAAAACAAAACCAAAACTTCATTGAAAATTGAAAAAGACAGTCCTCAAAACTCTCCCAGCTGGCCATCCTTGTGCATTTGCCATGTTTTCATCAAGAAATGCCGACAATGATCTTTTAGCTCATGGCGCTCAACCATCTCCAGTAACTGAATAGTGAGAGAAAATCTCATATCAGCATTAGATCAACATATTAAATCTAAATGTATAGGTTAATAAAACAAAAAGGCAGTGCACACAACCGCTTTTTACATCCTTTGACATTAGGATTTTGGTTAGGTTTTCTTTCACCTCTATGAGATCACCTTGCATTTTATCATAAGCTTCTGTACAAAAAGATGAAATAAGAATCTCACAGGTTTCTATTATACAACTCAAGTATAGAAAACCTCCAGACCAACAAATGTGATATCTAACAAATTTGTTCCTTCCATTAAAGCCTTTTGCAGTGATCCCAGCTCAATCAATCTGTCTTCCATTTTCTACAAATTGCATCAGCATTAAAATACAGGTCTTTTCCAATGAAAACATTTCATATTCATTAGAAACATGTTTTTAAAAGTTAAAAGATGCTAATAGCTCTAATACTTAATTCTGAACAAATTTTTCCTGTAATCCAATCATGGAAGATGGAGCTAAATGCTTGAGAACATTTCCATCATTAAGAATCACTTCAAAAAATAAATAATGCAAATGATGATATTTAATGTCATGTATGAAAGTGAATGAATAAATTGACTACTAAAATATGAAAAAGAAAAAAGAAAAGAAAAGAAAAGAAGCTGCCTGGAGGGTTAATGCATCCTAAACTAAAATAGATTTAGTAGTAAAAGTTAAAAAATCTTACAAACTACAGGCATGCTTTTACATACTGCATATCTGAGCAGTCAGTGGTGGCAGGTGGTGGGTGGCAACCAGTGGTGGTGGCATCCCAACTTCTTCATGGGCACCTTGGGCATGCTTGTGGACATGCCATGCTTGCAAATGCTTCAGAATGTCAAATCCAAGCATCACTATGTGCTAATGACCAGCCAACCTTGGGCCTGGCTGGCCAAGACCTGACTGGGCATGGGCTGAACCCATGGCCTACATGGTTAGCTAGGGCGTGCCCGTGGGTGCCTCTCATGCCTGGGATGAACACACATGTGCTTCGGTGTGCCTGTAAACTGTAATTGCTCTCTAAATATTTTGAACTGACAAAAAAAAAAAAATCTATAATAAACTTCCATGCAGTTCAAATTCAAATTCAATATATATAACAGGTTTTGCAGTCTCATAATATAGATTCTAGAATCCTAACTTTAAAATCAGCCTTGGGACTGGTTCCTCCAAGGGACCTGAAAGTCAAATGCAGAAGTAGCTCATTTGAGTAATAAAAGCAACATGCATTCAATCTCAAAAAGTAACATCTTTCATTACCTGGGGACAAGATGTTGTCAACAATAATGACACTTCTGCTGAATTTCAAGGGTATATAATTCAGCACATCCAAATCCCAGCGTTCTAATAATTTAATCTTCTAGCTATTCCCACAACAAATATCACTTAATAGTTTATTATATCAAATACTCAAGCAGGTCAAGTTCACTTTTGGAGAATTGGGTTTGCAATATCAAGGAACATGGCCACAAATTCGTGATGGAGAAATTTAAACATAAGTATCTTTGAATCACTATTTCTGAGTATCAGTCAACAGTGAACTAAATTTGAGTAGTTCATTAGTCAAAGAGTTAAAGCACAGAGGACTGCAAATACTAAAATACCCCAAACATAATTATGTTTCTCCTGATTTCTTCAAATGCAATTGGAGAAGCGCTACTCAGGCTGGTCTATAAGTTCGTCCTTTGCTGCACAGAGCACACAGATATATCACTAGGAACACGACCTTTTGAGACATTTTAAATACATGCAGTAGGTGGAAAACTTAAGATGGATGCCAGAAATCTGTGTTCATGTTATAAAATTAGAAGTTGGAACAGGGAAGTAAGTTTTTCTTTTTAACAAAACACTCACCATCCTACAATGACAAAAGGGAGGAATGATTAAACTATACATTTCCAAAACAGTACATATCACCCTAGAATAGCAGATGGAAAAACAAATGATAGATATAAAATGAAACATGCTTGCCTTTGCAATGAGTGACCCCAAATTGGATCACAGACCCATGTGCATCCAGTTTAGTAGAGCCACTAGATATGATGTGCTAATTTTATTTTTATGTACTGTTACAAATGCCATCTCCATCCGGTATTACTCATCCCAATTGGTGGATGCAATTTTTATTTATGGAAAGTTGTTTTGTAAAGGAATTTAATACATTAGCTTATTTGTAGCTGACTCTCAAAACAGGCACAAATTGAAGACATTCATCAAATAGGTACCTCTATTGCAATGGAAAGAAATATCCATGGGATTCCTCAACCCAACCTGGTTTTATATGGAGTTGGCAATTTCAAAGAATACAGGTAGATTGACATTCTACAAAATATAGATATTCAATACAATTTTCTTTTTCCTTTATTTTCAAAAACATGTAAATGATTCAGCTTCCTAAATACTTTGCTCCACATAGTCTGATAACAAGTCAACAGAACTCCAAATGGTAATGACAACTTAGATAATCCTGAAACACCAAAACCCAGGAAACTCCATTAGTGACAGATCACAGTAGGAACCTGCAGTTCAGTCATTGCACGTGATCAGCAAATGTAACTTTCTTGGGGAACTTGCATCATAAAGTGCTCTATAGCCAGAAGCAGGCTTGCTAACCATATATAATATAGTAAAATCCAATGTAAGAGATACATAGTGATTTCATTCTTCTGTCATTTCTGACCTTTATTCTTCAGAATTTATGTACCATTAGCAGCTGTAGAATTTGAAAGCGCAGTGGATCGTGATTATTCTTAGCCATTACTTTACACCTAGAATAGGAGATCAATACTCACCCAAAGTACAATTCCAGGAGCATGGAATGGACCCATGAAGCCAAAATTGTTGCAACCTCTATGCAAAAGGAGTAGGTCAACAAATCATGACATCATATTCTCCCTCACGCCATATGTAAGTCTGTGCAAAGATAGTTCATCAAAAGAATTATCCATTTCCCTAATCCTTGACACAAAATCCATGGCTTCTCTGTACTTCTTTGCTTTACAATAACCATCCACAACAGTCTTGTAGGTTAGCTCATTGGGTCTACAGTTATGCTGAATCATATAACTGATCACATCATCAACTTCATTAAATAATCCCCGAGCTGCATAACCTGCAACAAATGTGTTGAAAGTTACAATGCATGGCCTAATTCCCCTAGTTGTCATCTCTGAGAGAATTCTCATGGCTTCCTGCATAAGCCCTTGCCTGCAAAAGCCCTTGATGACAGTGTTATAAGATACAAGGTCTGGTTTTCTGCCACCCTTTTCAATGCCTCTGAGAATTTCTTCTGCTTTCCAGCATTCTCCGCCGTCGCATACATATCTATTAAGCTGTTGTAGGTCACTAGATCAGGATGCATCCCATTCTCATGAATCAGTTCGAGAATCTCATGGGCACGATCGTTCATTTTGTTCCTTGCAAATATGGAAAGCATGGCATTCAACAAAACCAAATCAGGCTTGTATCCATTTTTCTTCAGTCCCTGAAATGCTTCTCCATGCCCATCAGTGACCTACACTTGAAATTTGCAAGAATTAGGGTTCTCAAAAGCATCCAACTAGGAAATATATGACCATCATAAATTGATTTGCAATTCCTTCTATCCCCCTCAACATCCCCCCTTTCCATAACAATGGAGCATCAATGAGTATGTGGTTTCACTGGGCTTGAAGCCCTTGTTTCTCATATCTAGAAGGATAGATTCGGCTGCTTTCCAATCTCCTCGCCGAGCCAAGGCATTTAGAAGTGCATTGTAGGTTGTGATAGACGGAGTAAAACCAGCTTTAATCATCTCATCATACATTTTTGCAGCATCAATTCCTGAACCACACCTGCCATATGCACTTATCAAAGTATTAAACGTGTCTCTATCAGGATCAAAACCACAATTCTTCATCTCACGAAAAACTCGGTTCACATATTTGTGCATTCCTTTACTTCCACACATGGCAAGCATAGTATTCCAAGTAATGCGGTTAGGGGCACATCCATTTGACTTCATGTCAGAGATAATTTCCATCATCTCCATTGATCGTGATTTCTTCCCTAGCATCCCAAGGATGGCATTATAAGTACATACATTAGGAACACAACCTGATTCCTTCATCTGGACAAACAATCTCAGGGCCTTGTCCTCTTTCCTGCTTTGCCATACGCATCTATAATAGTCGTATATGTAATGGCATTTGCATTATACCCTTGTGGGTCATCGTGTCAATGAGAGCAGCCCTTCCTCAAGAAATCCTGCCCTCACATAAGCTGCCACAAGCTCATTATAAGTCACTGAATCTGGGGGCAGTTATTTTCCTCCATTTCATTCAAAACGCTCAAAGCCTCTGAATAAAGCCCAGCCTTCCCAAACACTTGGAGTAGAGAATTGTAAGTAACTGTTCCTGGCACATAACCCTCAGACTTTACATTGGCAAAAACTTTTTGGCCTCCTCTAACATCCCCTCTCTTCCACAAGCGGATATAACAGTGCTACAAGTGAACTCATCAAATTCAAGTCCTTTGCTTCTCATGTCATCCAAAAGGGTTAAAATTTTACCCCAAGACCGACCCATCTTCCCATAGACATCCAGCATCACATTGTAAGTAACCAAAGTCGGAGAGAGACCCATTTCATGCATGTGTTCAAACAAAGAAATCGCTCGTCCATAATTCTCAGCACGAGAATACGCGTGAAGAATAGTCGTGTACGCACGAACATCAAGGAAATACTCCTCAATAGGAATTGCATCAAACAGCTTCGCTGCAATTGAATGCTGAGACTCTCTCCCTAGAATTCTCACCATCAATTCAACAACTTGATTGTCTAGTTTACTACTCTGAGAGTTCAAGTTCAACACAACCCATTCAAACAGAGAAACAGCTCTTTCCCAATTACCCGAAATATCCAAACCCTTCAACAAACTGACCAAGTCGACTTCAATCAAATCAATCATGATAGAATCGAAGAAGGAATTCAAACCAGACACGGGCTGCTCTATAATCGAATCGAGCAAGAGCTCACAACCCCCAGGCAGAAAGTCAAATGCGCCATCAGCTGATTCTGCAACCTCCTCTCCGCCATTTTCAAGCAATGAAACTGAAACTGAATTGGGTTTCTGGAGATAGAACTTCTTTTTATCGGTTCGAGAAGTTAAACGAGTGCTGCGGGGTTGAGCTGATTTAATGAATTTGGGCTTGAAGGTGGCGTTGGGAGGGGACGAAGAGAGATGGAGAAGATGCTGTAAGAGGGAATCTAAGGGAAATGAAGGGGGAGAATGGGTTGAGGAGGGGGAGGTAGAGTAGCAAGGTTGAATTTTAGACGAACATTGGATTGAGGGGGTTTGTGGGTGGATTGGGGAAGGTGGGTCTGTTTGGGAAGAAAGTGCCTTCCATTGTGGAGGTAGAAAGATCAGAGAGATTCAACTTCAATGTGGACACTGGTTGCAGACGAGGGAGATGAAGAGAGCATTGTTCGGGTTTAGAGAGAGGCAGTGACAGGGAGGTGAGCGACGGGGGCAATCCAGGCCCGTTGTTTTAGAATGCCTTATAGGCGTTGAAGATGTTGCTAGCGCAGGGGAAAAATACGAACCAGACAAACAGTCCCTTAACATTCGTCCCGTGGGTGAACGTACCATGTTATCCTTATAAAATTTTGTGTAAATTACCTTATTTACGTCTTAAATTTGTTTAAATAATATTTATATTTATTTTTATTTTAAAAATACTCTTCTCTTTCAATTAAAATTGGCTAATAATTTTTGATAATATTAATTTAAAATATTAAAATTAATTTTATGTAATATATAATATAAAATATATTATATAAAAATGTTTTATAAAAATTTTTATCATATAAAATTAAATTATTCATTATAATCAAAAAAATATTAACAAAATTAATTCATTTGAAAAAAATTTAATTTTTAAATTTCAAATTTTTTTATTTTTATGAAAAGTTAATTTTTTAAAAAAAATGAAAAAACTTAACTTATTAAGAATTAGATTTTTTCATTTTATTAAAAAAAGGTTTTATATCTTTTTAAAATTAGAAATAGTAAATTTTGACTATTAAAAGTTAATGTCACACCCCAACTCTAACCTCAACTCTGACTCGTCAATCAAGGTATGATAGTAGGGTAGTGCCCAACACCTTTCTGTGCCTGGGACCCATAGAAGACTATTGAACTGTCACACCCCACCTCATAACTCGAGTAATGTGTCATAATGGAATAAGATTTAACAACTTCTGATACTTGGGATTTCCCGAAAATGCCAAACATTATTCAACTATCGTACTTGCTGAGCCAACTGTATAACTCACATCAAAAGAATTAAATAACACAACATAATTTAACATCACATAACAAGAAAACTAAGTTATTATCATAACTAAAACATAACTATCTTATGCAAGCCTCTTTTTCAAAACAAAATCTACATATAATATAATTATTTAACTTCCACTTCCCAAACAACAACCCAATTAGCTATTATCGACATGAGTAGGCCCAACCTCTTTATACTCAAAATGCTACTATGCTAGATGTACGTGATGTAGTTACAGGGTCTCTACTGTTAAAACTTAAAAAATAAATAAGTTATAAGACTTATATTTCAGTGAATGGTATTCCAACTAAATTCAGTAAAATAATAATATATTACATAATACTATAAATAAAAGTAGTTCATAAAGTTAGCATAACTAACATAGAATAATCCGTCGTGAGATAGAAATCTACTAATCATAATTTAAAAATAAAGTTAATTCACACCGTTGAACTTGCAGATCAAACTATAGCAAAAATATATAAAAGAGTTAAGGATGAAAGTAAAAATATAACGATTTTATAAATAAATGTGAACTTTGAGTGCACGTAGACATAAATCTAACATACGAAGAATTCGCTGGGTGCTACTAGTTATAAGACTCGTTTTATAGGACAACCACTTCATAGACGAACACACATAACTTGTTGGTGTTGTAAAGCCCAGTGGGCAAATGAATTATGTAGTACTACTACAACAACGTGACTACCCTGCGAATTATCTGGGTGAATTACAAACTTTATATATATATATATATATATAATATACAGTGTAAAAATGGAATTCTTGTTTCCATTCACTTAACAAAGTAATCATAGCATATAAATTAAAAAGCATTTCTGGAAAAGTAAAACATTTGATTTTAAAATAAAGCACTTATTTGTAAAACAAATTGTCAGTTTTGTTGTTCTAGGAAAATACTTAATTTAGGAGAAAAACTATTCACCTCTATTGATACTATGTGTGTTTAGACCCAGTCCTGTTGACCTCACTAATTGAATAGTATGTCTCTCTTAGAATAGAACCACATATATTATCAATGACATGTTAGGACCGTGTAGGAATGCATGAATATGCTAATGCATATATGAAATGTATTTATAGTTAAGCCGTTTTTTGACATTTCTACTTCGGGTCAAAAGTTCTACTATACATGCATTCCAAAAATCTCAAAATATTAATATACACTCATTATCGAGTTAGGTATACTAGAGTATGCTCATGTTCATAAAAGGGGTTATAGTTATTTTTTATGAAAATAATCTATAGGTGAGTCGTCGAATCTCTAGGTTGGGGTTTAAACAATTTTAACTGTCAGTTTGGCTTTATTTTTACTAAACTAACTTAATCACCTTTTTAGTAAAAAAAATTAATATAAATTAATAAAAAATAATATAAATTGATAGGAATTATTCCTTGATTTCTCATCATAAAACAATACTTAAACAAAAATCTAAACCGGTTAAATGAACCAAAAACTCAACTAGATTGAAAATACAAAAATTCCCTTAAGAACTCACCTGAAATTCAACCCTTGCCTAGCTCGGTTTCCGTCTCCTATTCTTCTTCTTGCTCTTTTTTTTTTTTTTTTTTTTGAGAAATGTCAACTTAAGCAAAAAGTAGACTAATGAAAAGCTTTTAATGGATGCCTCCCACTTGAGGCAGTGCACTAAAGCAGTGAAATAATTTTATTATTATTTTTGTTCAAGTAATTGTAAAATACCCTTCTTACCCTCAAAGATTTAGGGACTTTTAAAATTAAACTAAAGCTACTAATGGCCACACTAAACATTTTTATGTAAAATAAAACATTAAATACATGATAAGGGTTTTGGGTTTGAATGTTACATGAACACTGTAACTCTTGTCTCGTATAGCTTGAGCTACTCTAAAACAAAGTAAATGCCACCAACTAGATTAAACATAAACTTATCAAATAAACTAAATTACAAAAAAGTTTGATAACAAACTCAAGGATTAGTCCAACCTTTGTCTAATATACTCGAGACACTCTGATTTAGATGATGAAATGCTATGACACACTAACTAACTTGTTCTGCAACTACATAGTAAAAATGGGATGGGACTAAAATTCCAGTAAATGACATCCAAACTAAACTTAGTAGAAACACATAAATTTTCATACTATACATACCAATAAACATCCATGATTTGCATAAAATTTCTAAAACTATAAATTCACATAAAGTATCACTGAAATAGATGAACTTATTGTTTCCCAGCATCAAACTCATGGTAGGGTAATAAACTTAAAATCTCGTGAAGAATCATAAAAATAATCCATACAACACATATATACAAAACTCTGATCTCATGTGCACAGCATAAAAAAAATTATGTTAAAATATAAATAAATCTCTGACTTTCATAAAGGGAAAAACTTGTCAAGCGCTACTACACCATATAGTGTACACCATAGTTTACACCCATGATCAAACTAACACAATATGTGATGTCTGAGACCTTATTAGGTCAAATGTCTTGTAAAATTGCTACCATCCATGTGCTACCCAATGTCTCAAATCTAAAGTATCTCGGCACTAAAACATCATAAAAGACACATACTCGAAAGCATAACATGTACTAATATGTTTTCATTTTTCATATCAAAGTACACAAGTTTGAAAACAAGTCACATATGCATAAAAAAACATTTTTGTAAAAATCTAAGATTTCTTATTTTCTACTGAACTTCCTTCAACACGTCCAGTCTGAACCACTATTTTTCCTATAAAATTCATAACATGTACATATCTAAGTTTGTAACATGATAATTTATGTATGAAATTGTAATGACCCTAATTAGAATATTAGGGAAATATTGAATTAATTTGAGGATTAGGGGCCTAATTGTAGCAATTAAAAATTTTTAAGGGTCAAAATGAAATTTGAGAGGGGTTTAATTACAGTAATTTTAAGTTTAAGGCTTAAATCAAAATTCAGAGGTCAAATTGAAGAGATTAAAAGAAGCAAGGACTAAATTAGAAATAGTCAGGGATGAAATTGAAGATAATAAGAGTTATGGGGGTTGGATTGAGATCGGATTGACAGGTTCGGTCCAACAGTGGACTAAACTATCCAAGTCGTACCTCACATGATTTCATGGATATGACTCAACGGGATTTTGGTAGGTTTGTGTGCGATTAAGAGAGGCGAACCAAACTCCTTTTGACAATTTCAAAATCGAGTGAGGTTTGAGGGAGATCAAGCAGGTTTTTTGGTCAGCCAGGTTGTGTGAGGCTGAGTTGAAACTTCTGAAGATTTGAGTTGTTTAAGTTGGTTTTAATTCGATTAAAAGCCCCTTGAGGATTGCTTGATTCATCCTTGTAATTTAAACTTTTGATTGCTCCAGGTATAAACTCAAATCATGTTATTTTTCAAGTTCTGTGCTCCGAGTTGTGTTGCAGACCTAGAGTGATTTCAGGTTTTTTCTTCTAGGTGAGGAAAAAGGGACTCGGACAGATCCGGCTCTCATGTTGGGCTAGTCTAGGCTGTTGGGCCTGAACTCGGCCTAGTTAGGCTGCAGCTAGCCTAGAGAAGGTGACTGGGTTGAGTTGACTCAACGAGTCAATCGGCACAGTGATGAAAATTCCAGAGTTACCCATTGGGTTGACTCAGTTTGGAATCGGGATAAGCTATCCCAAGAGTTGATCAAACACAAGAATGGGAATGGGGAATTAGATAATCATGAATTAAATAATTTAATATTAACTAGGGTTTCAGTTTATAGTAGTTTTGGTTCAAATATCGGTTCACCAGTTCTTAGCCTGGTTCTTTGGAATGTTAGACTAGTCTAAGTAGGTAAGGTTGATTCACATCTCAGGGTGATTTTGGTTATTAGAAAACCGGTTGGTTTAGTGGGAAAATTGGGCTGGTTCAATGCATAAGTTTATAAATTAAGTTTTCGCTCGTTTCAAGGCCAGCCAGGGGGTTTCTGGCTAGGTCAGATCGGTTCTTAGGGTTTTGGGGCTGGCTAGATCCGATTTTCAAGGTTTTATGATCGGTTCAATTCAGTTTAAGGTATTTCAGGCTAGCTTTGGCTAGTTCAAGAGTTTTAGAGGTTGGTTCACTTGGTTCGAGAGGTTTTTAAGGATTTTGATGAGTGTTGGTAAGTTGTATGGG